TCAGTATCCTCAACAGGAAAAGCCTATTCACTCTGCATACTTTGCAGCTTTCTGTTTTGTGTAGAATTCCCTGCACCCACTCCCAGCCTCCCCACCTTCCCCAAGCAATATATAACATATATATATAACAATATATAACATAGCCACCAGCTCATACTCCTTAGGAATAAAGAAAAGACTGAATCCTGTTATTTTCCTTTAGGAACAGCTGAACAGTGACTCTTTTACAAGAATCCAGAACATGCATTGTCACTTCTGTGTTAACCCTCACTGTAAATTTTTGTGGGTTTCAAAAATTGAAAACTTGTAAGACTTGTAGCCAAGTCTTAGCAGGGTCCCTGGCCAGAGGAATTCATTTGAAGCACATTCTACAGTGGAGGTGCTCTGAAGGTAAAAATCCTTTATTTACACTTGGATGAGTCCCAAACAGCTGTCCTCTCTCTACTGGGACTTGGGAGCAAATATGAGTATTGGTTTGTGCATCTTTTTTGAGGATTTGAAAGCTTCTGTATTGTGAATGATAAAAACCATGCAATTGAAGTGATAGGTTTGATAGACATGACAGCTGGTCCTTAGGAAATGAGCTGAGATCACAAGCTAACAGGTACTGTACTTAAAAGTTTATAGTGTAACTACTCGATACGATGTTGGGCTTGTGTGAAGTAGCCTCCCCTCTAATGTGCTTTTCAGGGACATTTTATTGTAGGTGAAGCACCTGTTAAAAGGCTTTTCTGGTATAGTGAATTTGATTTATGTTAACATACAAACAGATGCAGACTGTCTAGAGATCTTTAGTAAATCAGAGTTTTTTTCAGTTTTGCAAATTTAGAGAGTATTTTTACTCATTTCCAATTCATGACATATTGAAATGGCAGGTATCTTAAACATTGTGTATAACATTTTCTTCTTGCTTACAAGTTATATTTGTTCATTGTTTGAATAGTTCTTTAGAACAGATAATTAGGATGAAAATTTTGTGTTAATTTCTAGAGCTGTGTATACTTAATAATTCAGTATTTGCTAATTCTAGATTCTTTTCTATGGTTATTGTGTTGATACTTTAGAATTTTAATTTTACCCACCAGTATGTTTTAAGAAGTTGCCAGACAAATTTGGATACCTAAAACCTTTTATTTAGCTATTTATGGTTTTCAAACTATCTTATGTGTTTATTTTCCATTGAGACCTAGAAATTCCAAGAGGAAGAAGCAGTGACTTCTGCTCTGTGCCTGGCTGTGTGCATAAGTTCTATATTGGATTAAGTCTTTTAATCTTACAGCAGCCTTACAGTATAGACAGGAATTGCTGTGTTCAGTATATGACATTAAGATTCATACAAGTGACTTATTTAAGATCATACCATTAATCTCTAGAGAATTTGGAATCTCAATTTCTTGTCTAGAGAATGTTGTGCAGAACCCTGTGACTTTCTTGTATTGAAATATATTTTTTTTAGCTGACAACAACATCTTTGAGACATTTATAAAGCTGGTGAATGGGGACATACTGCTTCTTTGGGTTATAAAAAGATATTTTGTTAGTTTTTGACCAATGGTCTGGTGACTGGATCTAGCATGCTCCCTCTTTTAAAAATAAAGTTTTATAGGAACACAGCTATGTCCATTCATTTACATATTGTAACAGAGACATATGACCTGCAAAGCCTCAAATATTTGCCATCTGGCCCTTTACAAACAGTGTTTTCTGACCAGTGGATGGATACTGGTTTTGACTGTTTGGGAGTAGGTAGCTTTTAATGTTAAGAATTAATTGGCTTATGCCGGGGATTTAGCTCAGTGGTTTCACTGGCCACCTGCTGCGCAAGCGCGAGGACCCGAGTTTGATCCCCGGTACCAAAAAAAAAAAAAAGAATTAATTGGCTTAGGTTCATGGTTTGGCAGAAGTGTTTTCTGCCCCCTTTCTTTCCAAAGTCTGTCATACAGCTATAGCCCTTTTCTTGTTTGTTTTGGATCGAACTCGGGTCCTTGAGCTTGCACAGCAGGTGGTGAAACCACTGAGCTAAATCTCCGGCCCAAATCTAGCTTATAGCTCTTTATATTTATTTCTGTATGGTTCTATAATTGTGATTGAGTTTTTATTCTTTTGCAGGTAACATGAATTTCAAAAATTCTAAAACTTGGCGCTGTTTATTATTGTAAGCATTGCACAGCCAACTCTCCCACATTCTGATGATGGTGTCTGCACTGTACCCTGTGAGAAAAAGGCTCCTGGTAGTTTATACCAAAGTGCAGAAAGAATTGTGGGCACCATTCTTTGCTTCTCTGAAACGCTGTAGGGAGAAGGTTAATTTATGTAATTGAGACAGTTGTATCAAAATTGGGTGAGCCTTATTTTGACATAAAACAAATATGTCACTCTGTATAACTGCAATCTATGAAATTTGTTTCAGTATTATAAAGTGAAAAATGCAGGAAGATTAAAAACTTAATTACTATACTTCTGCTTATTGCTTTACATCCTTCTCTTGTTTTAGGGGAAGGGTTTTTTTTTTTTTCCATTTAGTTTATTAGTACAGTTTAGGTATACAATACAGTTACATTCATCATTGGGATCTTGGTTCTTATTTTTTCTCCATTTCCCTATCCTCTCTTCACCCCCTTCACCCTTCCCTATTTACAAAGACTTTGTTTCCATGTTTTTCCTTTTCTCATATTTTTTATTTTTCCATCTTTCCTTTAAGGGAAGGGGATTTTTTGAAACAGGGTCTCACTGTGTAGTCCACGCTGGCCTTGAACTTACTGTGTAGCCCAGGCTAGTCCTGAGATGATCTTCCTGCCTCAGACTCCTGAGTGCTGGGATTATAGACGTTGTGCACCACACCCAGCAAATGTTAGCAAATGCCTCAAATGTTAGCAAACTTTTACAATCTATTTCTTATGTATTGGCTATTACACAAAAGCAGCTTTGTTGATTTGGTGGAATTTGAGCTATATCACTCATTGGTTACTGGGTGAGGAAGAAATTATAGTTTTCTCTCAATATTTTTCATTGAAATCATTGGATAGAAGGTGCATTTCATTAACTTTCCTTTTGGGAAAGCTTGATCAAAAGTATGTTGACAAAATGAAGACTTTCAATTGCTAATAGGTTTATGTCAGTTCATACTTCCAAACATACTTCAAAGGTGAGTTCATCAGCCTTTCCTTACACCCATCTGAGTTTCACCACCTCTTATTCAAATTCAGTGGGAGCCATTCAGATAGGTTGATATTGCAGTCCTTACACAGTTGTCCTGTTTTTTTTTTATTAAATGATGAAACATAAGAAGGCTGGTAAGTCAGTAATGTGTTTGAAATATATGTAAGTTTTTTTTACTAAAAGAGTGGGTTATTGCTAAATTTCTCAAGCTTGGTTTTCAGTGCAGATTTTTTTCAGGTGATTTTTAACACTGACGGTATATGGTCATTAACCGAAGGCAGGCAGGAGTTAGCCAGGGGGCTGTTACTTTGTGGGAGGTAGACCAGAGAATGGGTACTGAGGGAGTTCCCACCTGTCAGTACTGCCTTTGTCTGAAGCCTATAGCCTGCACCTGGTTGGAGATGATTGGGTTTAGGAGCCTGGTTATAGGGGACTCAGGACCTCCCCCCCCCCCCCATGTTGGTTAACTGCTCTTTGGATCATAACACAGCTTGGTCTGTGGCAGAACTGTGAGAATTTTAATATTGAGAGAACTCTTATTTAAATTATGCATGAACACCAAGGCCCTATGCTTTGTTCTAAACATTTGACCATTGATAACTTTGAATTTATGTTGCTTGAATCTCAACTTATTGTTAGTGAGGTTTCTGTGATATGGTAAAATGCAAGATGTAGAATATCACTAGTTTTTTCTTGTGTGAATGGCATTTCTCTACTTTGACTGGTTAGTATGTATCTTAATTTACCTGTTGTGAATAAGAAAGTTCTTTAGAGGAAATTAAAATAAAGTTGCTTGGGTCTGTGTCTCTGATTCTAATGAGAATGAGATCAGCTTATATTCAAATGCAGGGTGTTTGGCAAAGGACCTGGCCATTCTGAGATCCTAGTGAAATCACTAAGTTAAACTTTAAGAACACGCTATTCTTAATATTCAGGAATGTATTACATAGTCCTGGAAAACTTCAAAGTTGCTCATAAGATTTTTATGAGAATTTGTTTAGCGACAGTAATGGAGAATTTGGCTGTTAATTCTGAGGGGGGTAATGGCTTTCTAGTGTCAGAGACTAGTTGTAGCTTCCCTTCTCTCAGAGAGGGGTAGTGAGCAAGAAGGCTGTAGTGAACTTGTGCCAGTGTCCTTCCCCCAATCTCCTAGTGTCTAGTGGGGGGAAGTCTGTGAATAAGTGGCATTTTGTGAGTTTGGGGGATTATATAAAAGTGCAGCTGAACCTACAGCGGTGTTGCATTAGTAACTGCTTTAAACATACCGTTGATTGTTAAAACTTTTAATTTGACAATGAAGCCCTTTGTCTTTTGTTTGTTTTGTTCTTTGGTTTCTTTGAGACAGGATCTCCCTGTATAGCCCAGGCTGGCCTTGAGCTCTTGAATTCACGGCAGTCTTCCTGCCTCAGCCTCCCAAATGCTGGGATTACAGGCATGTGCCACCATGCCTGGCTTGTCTAATTTTCAATCAAAATCTTTCTTCCCACTTGAAAAGATTGAGTCTGAAATACAAAGGAATCCTGCAACCCTTAAGCTTCCTTACATATGTCACAGACCTCTAGGGAAAGCTTGATACACAGCAGTGTAGACTTTGGATTGTATTCACAGAACTATTCTTTTTTTTTTGGTACTGGGGATCAAACTCAGGTCCTTGCGCTTGCACAGCAGGCGGTGAAACCACTGAGCTAAATCCCCAGCCCAACAGAACTATTCTTGTATGCAAGGAGTTTAGATGGTTTTTTTGTATCTTGGTGACAACTTTTTTTTTTTTGATACTAGGAATTGAACTTGGTGACAACTTTTAATTTTATTCTCATTTACTTCTTCCCTTTCTTTTTCAGTGTCCTGGGTCATGAAACTTAATCCACAACAAGCTCCATTATACGTGAGTAAATAACAGTTTCTTTTTTTTTGTTTGTTTTTGGTACCGGAGATCGAACTCATGACCTTGTGCTTGAGAGGCAGGCGACGGAACCACTGAGTTAAATCCCCGGCCCACAATTTCTTTTTATTTTGTACTTATTTGTGTTGTTTAGTTATGATAAACTTACATCATCATGTGATAGAGATGATTAAAGAATTTATTTACACTATTAATAGTGTAAGCTGGGGACCCCCCCCCCCTTTCATCCTTTCCTTCCCTTCATCCTATCCTTCATCCTTCCTTTCCCTTCATCCTTCCCTTCCCTGATACTGGGGATCGAACTCAGGACCTTGCAGTTGTGCTGAGGCAGGCGTGGTACCTCTGAGCTAAATCCCTGGCCCCGACCTGCAGTACATTTCTGTAAAAATAAAATGGAGGTCTTCTCTGCCATTGTGAGTTACTCCGTGTTCAACTAGGTGGCACTCTGTCACTGGGAAGAGTGCTGTTTCCCTAAGAACTGCGGGTAAAAGCTGATGTGTCTCCCTGAAGGGAGGAAATTATAAGATGAAGTGGGTAAATGAACAAGTCAGGGCTGGACAAAGGTAAATTCTAGGGGACTGCTTATTTTACTTTTGAAAAAATGAATTGGCTGCATTGAGGTGGTGAAAACTACCTAGTGGTGAGGAGCCAGCTAGAGTCTGAGAGGCTGGGGAATGTTGGGTTGCTGTGATATGGTGAGTGTGAGGGATTTCTCTGTTATAGGACTGGAATCAGGCCCTGAAGAATAAGGACTGTTTAGTTGGTTTAGAAGAAAGACAGACGGCAGGCTGATGGGAGACAGAGAGCATGGTGTTGGCTGAGTGGTGAGGATGGGCACTGGGCTGTGGACACTCTGCCTGGCTGGAGTTGAGTTGGAAATCATGGGAGGTGGTAAACCTGTGACAGCTGATGCTCAGTTCTGAAGGAAGACAGGTATTGCTTTATGACCACAGATGAGCAATTGATAGTTAAAGCTGCTGTTCATTTTATAATATGTATTTATTTTTAACTATGCTGTGTTAATAATTATCTTTCCAACATGGGACATATGTAGAATTCGTTGGCACAGTTGATTTTTTTGTTAAATGTAATCTACAAAGAAAAAAAATGTGTTCTTAGATAGTAATTTATGTACTTATTTGCTGTCTAGACTACTTGGAGATGAGTTTTGTTCACTAGTAGGCATGTATGTGAATTGAGCACCTTAGATTTTTCTAAATACCTTTATTGACATATAATTCATACAAAGTATAATATGGTGTGTCTAAATTTAAAAAATTTTATTACAGTACAAGACACCTTGCCATTAATTCCCCTCAAAATTCTCCCCCTCATTTGAAATACACTTAACCCATTGTTCTTGGCACTTTCTGAAGCAGATCTGGAATTCCTGTTTTGTGAGTTTCTTTAGTTGTCTAAATCAGTTGAAAGCATTTTTCTTTCTTAGACATTTTGATTGGGGAAGAGCCAGAAGTTGTATGGTGCCAGATGCAGTAAATAAGGTGGATAAGGACAGATATACCACGTTTTTACAAGCCTGCCTTTCCATTGGATGGCACTCAGCAGTTTTTTTGATCCTATCTTGCAGACAGTCACAAAAGCAGACTTTCAGAACTGCTTCAGAAAGTAATAAGAATGATGGAATATTTTTGAAGTGAGGGTGAATATTTTGAAGGGAGTTAGTGGCAATGTGTTCCATAGTATTGCTTTTAAATTAAACATTCACCATAATTTTTAGTCACCCCTTGTATATCATTAATTTTTTCTTTAAAGTGTACGATTAATTCAGCCAGGCATGGTGCCATCTGTCCCTAATCCCAGCATTCTGGGAGCCTGAGGCATGACACTTAAATTTAAGCCCAGCCCAGGGAAACTTAACAATTTAGTGAGACCCTGTTTCAGAAAAGGGCTGGGGATGTAGCTCAGTGAGAAGATTCTGGGTTTAGATTATCCTGAATTACAATCCCATAATCCCACTGTAATCACAGGAATCTTTGTAAGCAAGAGAAGGTATAAGGGCTCTGAGCAAAGGATAATATCCCCTTAGAGATTGGACAAAGCAGATGAACACTTTCTCTCTCCAGAGCCTCTGGGAGGAATATATTCTTGCTGATACCTTGATTTTAGTGTAGAATGTCATTTTAGACTTCTGAAATCCAGAATTGTACAAAAATAAATTTGTGCTCATTTTAAGCCATTAACTTTGTGGTAATCTGTGGTAACAGTATTATGAAACTAATGCAGTAATAGTTTGGGAAAATTTATTGATGGTAGTGTGAAGGCTAATTAGGAGAAGGAGAAGATAGCGGCAAAAAGATCAGAAGCCTTCTCATCTTGCAGTCATAGAGTCTTGAGAACTAGAGTTAATAAAGACCTGCAATATGTGTTTCAATTGTTTTGTCTTAGAGATGAGAGTCTGAGGTCTGAGTATGTTGTGATAAAGTGGCACAGCTCTTTGGTAATAAAACTGATTTGAGCCTATGTTATCTGTATTTGGTCATAGAAACCATTCTAAGTCTTAAATTTTAAAAAAGTTTTGTTCTGTTAGGGAAACAAGGCTAAGCTCTGAGGATTAGTCCTAATAAATTAAGTGGTTCATGTATGATTATATGTTTCAGTGAATTGGACAGACACTGCTGAAGAATACTTTAAACTTCAAATTTCATGAAGTGGTATTCGGCAGTAATAATGAGGCAGTCTTGTTACCCCTTTTTGAAAAGGAGATTGACAATGTATTCCATTATCAATGAGTCAAGTTAGGAATTTATACTCTTTGATAAAGAAAATAGTTTATTGGCAGTGCATTGGATAGGGTGGAAGTTCTCTGCACCAAAAGAAAAAAACAATGAACAGCAAAATTACGTTGCAGCTTTTCTGTTAGTTTATGTTTGAGATCTGTTAATGGTGAGTATTGTGTCATCAGTTGGGTAGAGAAAACTGCTATTAAATAAGGAAAACACTGAGTTCTGAGAACTTTTATCTGTAAATTAAGAAAAATAAGCTATGTGCCAAGTAAGTTGCAATTGTTAAAAAATAGTTCCACATTGTGTACAGGTAGCACTAGTACTGTTGAATGTAGTGAGGCTGCTATAATGAATTATTCTGATGAAATTTTCACAATGAATATGTAGGGCAGTGGTTCAAAGCTTTGACCAGTAGCTCAACAAGATACATCTTTGTTTCTTTTTTGCTAGGTCTGATTTCATGAGTACAAACTTTGTGTTAGAAGCCAGTTACATCATTAGTTCAGGTATTTTTACAGTCTCCACAAAAGTATTGATTACTGCCAGATGGATTTTTAAGAATTGCAGTTAAGATTCCCTTAGTGATGATTTAAAATACTGACAAATTTAGCAATATTCTTTTTCTGTGTGGTGTTCTACATGAATTAGTAAGAGTGAAAATGGAGAGATGGTGGCAAGTACAAGAAGTATTTTGAAAGAAACAACAGGGCCAAATACTTCATGGGACATGGGGAGTGAAAGAAAAATCTAAATGACAGCTGATTGAGAAACTGAGTGTAACAGCTGATTGCTATCAGACAAAGGGAAGGAAAAGGTGATGGCTTGTTCTTTAAGATGTAGGCTTGGGACTCTGGGGGAGTGCAGTTGGTTTTAAAGTAGAGATAATTCATCTCTAAAAAATTGATACTTTTGATTGTAAGACTAGATGAGCTTTTTAAAATAAAAGGGAGTAGTTGGAATTGAAATAGTGGACAGTGTGTGAGGGGGATCCCAAGAACAAAGTTGAGTTGTCTTACTTATTGGTGAGACAAAATGCCACAACTTAAAGAAAGGTTTATTTTAGCTCACAGTTTATAGAGGTGTTAGTCCATAATTGGCTGACTCCAAGGCAGTGTGGCAAGGCAAAGAAGAAACAGTCCATCGTGTGGCAGAAGAGAAATAGCAAAACAGTTAGCCTTTCTTTCCTTTTTTATTCCATTCAGGCTACAAGCCCATTGGTTGATGCAGCTCACACCCAGGATGGGCCTTCGCATTATCCACACCTCAGGACTATGCTAAACCAATCGGTAGACTGACCCACTTATCACAGCATAATCCAGTATCACATACCCTTGATCCAGCCACTTCCCAAAATGCCCCACTATGAGTGCATGAACCTTTTGGGGGGACATCTAGTCAAGGGAGGAGGAATTCTAGAAACTTAAATTACATTTGAGCCTTTTAACATTTTATTCTTGGAGTTAATTTCACTCATTATCAGGATTAAAAATGAATTTTGGATTATACTAGAGCTGAGGGATTTGGACTAGAGTAGAGCTGGGGAATTACTTTCATTCAGATGTCCTCTGTATTAAGTCCTGTTCTAAGTGCTGAAGATTTAGCCATAAATAGAACAGAAAGGTCCCTTCCCTCTTGGTACTTGTATTATAGTGAGGAGAAGGCAAACAACTTACCTACAAGAAAACTTAGGAAGTGAAAATAAGTAAAACTTATTTTCTGTGAAATAAGTAAAACTATTTTCTGTGAAAATAAGTAAAACAACAAAGTATGGTGGTGCCTAGATAGGGCAGGGCTTGTTTTAGATTGAATGGTCAGGAAAAGGCCTATGAGGAGAATGTCGTTTAATATGAGACCTGAATGGCCAGGCATATATGTAATGTTGTAGGCCAGGGGAACAAGGGCAAACACTAAAAGAGAAAACTATCTTGAGATATTTGAATTACAGAACAGTAACTGGGGATTAGTTCAGTAAGGGACAGCTGGGCCTGGTCTCCTCCAGGATGAGGTGGGAGGCTGAAGAAATGAAGAAAAAGCTAGATCTTGTAGGCTTTTATAGACCACTGGGTCTGTCTTGGGCCGGTCTTCCCTGACATGTGAACCTTGGTGCAGCATGTGACCCTGTGTACTCTGAAAACCTTAACGCCTCTGAAAACTTATGGTTGTCAGTCATTTTAGGGATACTAGGATTTCTCCTAATTTACATCTGCTAGCCCTGGTGTTTTTAGGTAGTTTAAATTT